TAACTTCTCAGAAGCACTTGACGTCATAAAGTTCTCCCTTTCAGCAGAAAGGTGAGGCATTCTACGCCTGTGAAGAGTTTCAGCCTCAGAAACCCACAGGGGCAGTTCTACTCAGTCCTAGAGGGCTGCTATGAGCCAGAACTGACCAGTGGCAGGGAGTGAAGTTGTCCCTTCTCCCAGATGCAGTGTCTTTAGCTGGCTCCCAAGGCAGCCCTTCTCTTGATTGCTGACCTGCACGACTAGCTTCTTCTTCCTTGCCTTTTTTGCCAGTTCCTCCTTTTCTTCTAGACCCTTCAAAGGCCGTGGTCTATTTTCTTACACCTCAAAGTACTAAGGATCCTCACATGTACATCTGCAGCCCAGAGGTCTCTCACAAACTCCACATTCACCTATTCTAAACCTACTTGATCTCTCCACTGGGGTATCTAACAGAGATCTCAAACTCAGCATCCCTAAAACCCAACTCCTGGCCTTCCTCTCCAAGCCCATTCCTCCTCCAGCCTTTCCCGTCTCCGTAAACAGCAAGTCCTTCCTTCCAGTTGCTCAGGCGGGAACTCTTAAGGTCATCTTTCTCTCCCTTTCTTCTCTCACAACTATTGGCTCTACCTGCAAAGTAAGTGTAGCATCTGACCATTTCTCCACCTCCACTGCTACCATCTTGGTCTAAGCAACCATCACCTCTTAGAGCCTGAATGTCTATAAGCCGTAGAATCCATAACTGGTCCGCTTCTGCGCTCACTCCCCCATAACCTACCCTCAACGCATTAACCAGGAGTCTGCCACATTTCTGCTCAAAGTCTTGCCTTGACTGACCAGGTCTCGAGTACAATAAATGCTCCTACATGATCAGCTACCTCCAATCCCATTTCCCTCTGTATTCTCCCCTTCTATGAACTCACCCAGCTCCAGACTCACGGGCCTTCCTGAAGTTAGGACCATGAGCCCATTTCTCTCCTGGGCATGGAATCCTCTTCGCCCCACTATCCACCAGGCCAACGCTCGCACTCCCATCGAGCTTTGCGCAAAATGAACTCAAGGAGGCCCACCTTGACCACCCTTCTAAAATTGCAACCACTCCCCGAACCCAAACTCTTGATCCCCTTTCCTCAGCCCCATGTGTTCTTCTTCTATAGCGCTTATCAACTTCTGCCATACTGTGTCATTGAACCGTGTGGTGGGTTGATGGTATCCTGGCTGCTTCCTCCTTCTAGAATGCAAACACCACACACAGCCCTGGCACTGGTATGGTGTCTAGAGATGGCTCCTGAGTAGCCAGAGCAGTGCGTATGGTAGACACTCTGTGAGGGTTTGCTGTTGGAGGGCGCCATCAGGGGCAGGGGCAGGGGCGGGGGGGGGGCTGACGGTGCACTCACTGCCACCAACTGAGTGACATGGGAAGCCATTCGGATGAGGCAGGTAGAAGACAGTAGAGGCAGGAGCCCCTCCAAGATCTCTCCCTGGAAAAGCCTACCTGTTGCTTCTGACTTTAAAGGGCCTTCTTTATTTCATTTCCTCTGCTTCTTGAATTCTTAAGTACAGTTTTCAACTACCTTTCTACCAGCTCTCCTACCATAGTCGATTCTTCCCTTCTCTGGAGCTCACTTCAAATTGGAGCCACCGACTTGGAAAGCTGGAAGGAACCCGAGAAGACTAAACTCCTTCAGGGGGAAAAATTAATAAAAATAAAATTATGCCTTAGGGATTCTTCATCCTCGACTTCACCACTGAACAGTCGTAAAGGTCCTAGTGCATCTCTTCCCTCAGCATGATAGTGGCGCCGCAAGAAGCTGTGAGGTTTGCCTTAGTGCCCAGAAGCAGACTGACAGGGTAGCATCACATCATCTGAGCTTGGTACACCCTGGAGATCCCAGGGGCCTTCTCCAAGATTTACATTCCTATCACCCCCTGGGAGTTTAAGCCCCAATCTGAGAACCACACGTTTTTAAAAAATTGACTCAACCAGGAGAAAAAGGTCAAACCAGAGGAACGGTCTTGGTTGTTCCCAGCCGCCTTCTCGGCATCACAGCAAAGGGCTGTGTCAAAAAGCCATCCGTTTCCACTTGGACAAGGAGACAGAGAGGATAAGACCGGAGCGAGTGTCAAAGCCCATTCTCTGTAAGAGCTCGTTTTGCTTGGAAGGCAAGGTGAGTTAATTGGTGCAGCTTACACTTCTGGGGAAAACGAAAAGACAAAAGGATAGGCAGGTTGAGATTGCCCTAGAGACCCTACGTCTCCCTTGGTCAGTCCCCCTGACCTCAGCAAATGAGCCTTCCCATGACCTCATGGGGGCCCTGAGTGACGTGTGCCCTTCAGAGCAAACTGGGACCCCTCAGAACACAGCCCTCCCCCACAGTCTTCCATCAGGTAACAGAGGGCAGGATGCCTAAGGCCTGTGCTTGACCAAGGGGAGAGGCTGTGGAGGGTGGTGTACAGTTTAACAATAATAATAAACCGACTCTCACAACTCCTAAAAAAAGTTTCAACTGTTAATCAGAATCAGCTTGCTGCAAGGCAAGCTCTCCAGGGGAAGAAATCACAACAGCCACCTATTGCCTCCCCTCCCCAACAATAAGCCCCAAGGTGAAAAGCCAAGGGCCAGTCTTCTTCCTGGGCCTGCATCTCTCCCGGGATCTGGCACATGCTCAGCTCCACACAAACTGACCCCGGATCCCCATGGCACAGCCCGGGAAGAACCCTGGCCGGACAAATAAATAATATAGGATGGATCCCATGCAGCGGCTTCCCCTTCTCCAGCCCAGTGGTTTCCGGAAGACCCTCGAGTCCCGGAAGACCCTGTCTCCCGCCTCTTCATGCCATTCCTGCTCATTCCCAGGCCAAGCTTTACCCAATTCCAGAGAGGCTTGGGGAAAGCTGCTCACCTCCTAATCTTCCTGCCATGTGAGGGGCTAAGCTGGTCAGTAGGTTCCAGAGACTGAGTCCCCATGCCCAGCTTAGTACCCCCATCCCCCCTGCTTATGCCCTGGGCCAGCCCCTTCCCTGCACCTTCTTCTCTGTAAGGAGGGAGCTGAGGCCCCAATTTCTAAACAAGCCCGTGGAGTCTTGTAGGGCTCAGCAAGAAGTGGGAAGACCCCCTCCTTCCCTCACAATGCAGACTGAGCAAAGTCCTGTGATTTCAGGCCACTGTCCAGAAATTCCTGTGCAGAAAGACACGCCAGCCCATTCTACAACTCTGGAAAAATACAAGTGAGCTAACTCCCAACCCCAGAGCCAGGCCCCGCAATCTGACAATGAGGGTCTGTGGCCCCAAAGCCACCCTTAGAGTTTTCCCCCCAGCCCGTCCACCTCCACTAAGCAGTGCCTGCCTCCTCTCTCCCGACCTTCAGCTAAAGGACGGTGAGGCTGATGGGGGTTTGCAGGCCCTCTCCTCCCTTGCAGCAGGACTGGGGCTGTGTTAAAGGACCCTCCACCACCCCACCACCCCAGCCCACATGGCCCCTCTTCTCACCATCTTCGCCAGCAGCCTGCCTCTGCAAGCCCTCCCCTGGTCCAGGCTGCAGCCTGACAAAGCCAGACCTGGGAGCTCCAACTGCACTACGTTTCACCCAGCAGCAAGGTCTCCCTGCGCACTAGTCAGCCAGGCCCCTGCTCAGGACCCAGAAAGCTCCTCAGCGGCTTCCCACCGTTCGGGGATTCTCTGCAAATGGAGAAATGATGGCAAGATCGTTCTCTCTGGGAGAGGGGGCGGGGGTTAGGGTGGAGGGTAAGTAGCAGAGTAACTCAAGGGGCTGGAATGGAGGGCATGAGAAGTCAGTAAAGACAGGGTAAAGGAATCCAGGACAGATCAACCCCTAAGGACCAATAATGAGAGTAGCAATACTAGGAGGGTAAACGAAAGGGGTGGTGGTAAGGGGGAACCAATCACAATGATTGACATATAACCCCTCTCCCAGGGTGATGGACAACAGAAAAGTGGGTGAAGGGAGACATCAATCAGTGTAAGACATGACAAAATAATAATGATTTATAAATTATCAAGGGTTCATGAGGGAGGGAGAGTGGGGAGGGAGGAAAAAAAGTGAGGAGCTGATACCACAGACTCAAGTAGGAAGAACATGTTTTGAAAATGATGATGGCAACAAATGTACAAATGTGATAAGCACAATGGATGGATGTATGGGTTGTGATAAGAGCTGTATGAGGCCCCAATAAAATGATTTTAAAAACCCAACAGAGTAAAGAACTAAAATCAGTGTACACACACACACACACTTGCAGTGAGAACTTTTAAAGGAAGAGCCACTGTGTCAAAGGTTCTGACGCTGGTGGGTGGGGAATGGAGAGCTTAGGGGACAGCAGAAGAGGGGAGGAAGAAGCTATAAAGCCAAGGTTAGCGAGTTTCAAGACGACAGAAAAGGTTGGGACCAAGCTCATCATCCACATAGCTACCATTTATTCAGCGCTTTGCACACTCTGCTCTTTACAAGAGCCATGAAAAGCAGGCCCCACTGTCTCCATTCCCAGGAACTCTTAAGTTGAGACTCTAAGCCAGTGGTTCTCAACCTTCCTAATGCCACCACCCTTCAATACAGTTCCTCAGGTTGTGGTGATCCCCCCCAACCCTAAAATTATTTTTGCTTTACTTCATCACGGTCATTTTGCTACTGTTATGAATGGGGGCGGGGGGGTCGCCGCGACCCACAGGTTGAGAACCCGGCTCTAAAGGCTGAGGTAACTTGCTCAAAATGGCTCAGAGCCTGAAGTTGCAGAGCCTGAATCCAAAGCCGGATTCACCTGGTTCCAAAGGCTAGACTCCCATTTCCATCATGCTCTGCGGGACTAGAAAGAGCCCCAATACAGTATCTGAATGCCTCGAAGCCTCAGTTTCCTGCCGAGTGTTGCCCGGAATGATTGAAAGGCTTTCTTCCCGGCATGTTATGCGCCTTGGGACGCCCCCACAGGCGCAGGGAAGGCAGAGGTGGAGAGGCAGCCCTCCGTCCCCACGGGGGTGGGGGTTGAGGGGGTGGCCCAGGAGCGCTCACCTCCCCCGTTTTTGTAGCAGAGATAGGGAAATCTCCAGACGTTGCCCAGGCCAACGATCTCCCCGGCCACCGAGAGCACAAACTCCATCTTGTTGTTCCAGTGCCCTCGCTCCAGGGTGCCATCTTCCTCCGTCTTTTCCATGACTGGGTACACTGGTTTAGTCTCTCCATTATTGGTTGTGCCTGAGACCCTGCTATCCATCCCACCTGGAAAACAAGCGAGAAGCTCCGTTACCGTCCGCAGCCCAGGAAGGAAAGCCCTCCCCACCTTGCAGTTTTCCAAGAGCATCCAGGTGCCAGAAAAGGGGGAATTCCGAATACCTTGGCGTATAGGTCCATGGTCTCCTTAACATCCCTTGCAGACCGGTGCAAGCGCAAGAGCTGCTGCGAATAGGTAGCTCTTTCCTGTTTCAAAGGGCAAGCATTGACCTTGAAGTACAGCCATTGCTTCAACTACACAAATTCTCTTAGCTTGGCACGTATGACGTTGAAGAATTGACACATCCCTTGGGGCTATCTCTCACTTCTCTCTGCCGGCAATCCCGTCCTCAACCATGTCTACATTAGCGTATGCTTTAGTTTCTCTGCTCTGTACACTGAGAGTTGAGAGGATGGAATCACTACAGATCCTCAACACCTGTCATTTCTCTGGCAGGGCTTTACCCTTAAGGAAATAATTGTGACTTTGGATGAAGGCTTTGCTTTAAGGATGTTCATCCAACACTGGTTATAACAGCACATCACTGGTATAACTGTTCTAACAATCACTGAAGATTGTGCTGCAGAAGAGATTTTAATGAAAAGGCATTCACAACGCACGGAGCGAACACAATTATAAAACCCTTTCATGTAATGGCATCATGCTTGTGAAATAGTGCATAAAGAATGCTATCGAAAGGGTAGGCTGGCAGCGGAGATGTGCCTCTCAGTCCTCGGGTTATGAGCCTGGCTTCCTTCCCTGTCTTTCCGACATGTTCTTCGGAAAACGTGTTTGATTTTTGTAAGACGACAGCAAAAACTCCTCTGTAAAATGAAGGGGCAAAGCTGAGTGAGAGCAGAGGCCCTGGACGGCACAAAGTGATCTTTCCAGGGATTGCCTTCTCTCTCTGAAATCCTTCCGAGAGGCGTGACTCTGGACGCTTGCTTGGTGATGACAACCACAGGCATCCGTTACAGGACAAGAAAATGACCTCGAATGGCTAGAGAGCCACGGTTCCAAACCTTTTGCTGCCAGAAATGCCCTCTTCTGGACTCTCAGTGGAGCCCTCGTGTGGTTTACACGTTGGGCTGCTATCCCCATGGTTGGCAGTTCGAAACCACCGGCAGCTCCTTGGGAGAAAGACTGGGCTTTCTCCTCCTGGAAACAGCTACTGTCTTGGAAACTCACAGGGGGTCGTTCGGAGTCAGCACGGACTCAGAGGCAGGGAGTGCGGCGTTGGGGAGGGAGACAGCGTGGAGTTGAGAGTAAGACCAGATGAGGCTTCCATTTAGTGAGCAAGGCCTGCATGCCAGGCACTTACACGCATTGCACAACTTAACCCTCACAAGCCCGAAGGGTGAACAGGATCAGTTCCCCTTTACAAATGGGGAAGCTGGTCCTCCGAGCAGTGGAAGATTGTGAGCGGGCCATGGAGCAGGGCCTTACACCTACTTGGCCCTGCTGTTTCGCTGACATCACTTTAGCTCCACGGGCTGCCTGTGTTTACCAGAACACCTGCAAGCAACTCTCCTGGGCCCTTTGCCTGGGGAAGGAGGCAGACGGACTTCTGTCTTTACCTCCGGAAGAGTTCATGCTAGCAGAACTTTTTCAAAGGAGTCCCATCTGGTCACAGAGTCTAGTGTGGCTGATCTCTCTGATCCCAGGTGGACCACCTGAAGGAGCCATAATGTCAGAGAGACACTCGGGGCATAATTGCCTGATCGATAAATCGGGGAAGGGACTCCAAAGATGGTTTGAGGGCTAAGGAGAAACCTGAGCCCCTTGTCCTAAGAGCTTCCTTGGTCCTTTTGAGAAGATTGTCTAAGATTTTGTGCTGGCTCTGGGGCCCCCTTTACCATCTGAAGGTCGTCATCCAATGATGGCGACTCATCCCCCTTCACTTCTTCATCATCTCAGATCCGAGGAGAAAGAATTAACCCTTTGCTAGATTCCTTTAGCTTATAGCTAGTTGCCTCTCTAATGCAGCATGGCCCAGGTAAAAGGGCAGGGCTTGTAGAGTCCACAAGCCTGAGTCTAAATCTTAGCTTTGACCCAGATGACTGCTTGCAAAGTTAATGAATGGCTCAAAGCCCTTAGTATTCTCATCTGTCAGAGGGATGGCACAGAGTCAACTAAAAAGTGTCGAATAACTAAAAGCGTTTAGGAGAACAGGCGCGTGCAAACTTTGTTTTCTTTCAGTCTTGTCCAGGGCTGTTGATCTTGTCATTTCACAGAAAAGGAAGCTCTCATTTACGTGGAATCAAACCCAAATGTCTTTCCTCTCTCCATTCAGAGTTCCCTTTTTCCAGAGCACATGGCTCCATCAATCAATAGTCTCCAAAGGCTCAGAAAGTCCAGGAACACAGAATGTAAGGAAGCTGCCTTTGCGTTTGCACATATAATGTCAGAAACATATTTCCTACAACAGGACCAAGCAATCCTGAGGTGGAAAGACCCATAGACCCACCAACCTGCAATCTGAGACTAAGAAACAGAAGAGAGAGAGAGAGGAAAATGTTACGAACCTTCCTGAAGCTGTTGCCAGAGGTCCAGTTAGGGGAAGAATTATCTAGGGGGAAAGGGGAAGGTGCTGGCTATTTACAGTGTGGTCCAGAAGGCCTCTGGTGCACTTGTAATTCTAAACTTGGCCCAACCCACATTCCGCCCTCCTGCCTCTCTCCTCCTCTGCCCTCCCTCCTCTGGGCACCAGACAACCCACATAAGAGTGATTGCACGGCCTGGGGAGGGTGTAACACCCTGGCAGGTCACACCAGTCACTTGAGAGCTATCGACAAACATACTCCCTCTTCTAAAGGTCTTATGCTCAGAACCTCCGAGTGGCCTGAGGTTTCTCTAGAGCAGCGGTTCTCCACCTTCCTAACGCCACGGCCCTTTCATACAGTTCCTCATGTGGTGGTGACCCCCCACCACCACCATAAAATTACTTTCATTGCTACTTCATCACTGTCATTTTGCTACTGTGATGAGTCGTCATGTAAATATCTGATGTGCCAGATGTATTTTCATTGTTACAAATTGAACATAATTAAAGCATAGTGATTCATCACAAAACAATATGTAATTCTATATTGTGAAATATTTCTTTCTAATGACAAATAAATGGAAATTGGTCTTGAAGCACAGTGTAGCATGGGTCACAGTCTTCACGCCTGGTGCTCATATGTGGGCGGATCTGCATGTGGGTGGACCCGCCTGGAGACGGATAGAGGAGCGGGGTCTCGGTTCCTAAGACCATCGGGAATATGTCTTAGGCGACCCCTGTGAAAGGGTCGTTCGACTGCCAAAGGGGTCGAGACACACAGGTGAGAACCGCTGCTCTGGAGGAATCCTTCCTTCTCCCCTCTTTCCCAACTCAAAGACTCCTATAAGTTCATTAAAATGGGGGTTTCTTTGCGCAAGTGCTGTGCTCATTCATTTAAAAAGACATGTCTCCCCCTTTGCATGCCGATGGTCTGAAATGGACAACGATGATTTAGAATAAACATACAAGGATTACAGAACTCTGAGAAGCCAGAAAAAACTCCCTGAACACACACATGCATATCGTCACACAGTGAGTCTGGAAACGGTCCATAATCCTTCACACTGGAAGAGTTGGAGGGGGGTGAGCAGATGGCAGCAAAGTGGAAGTTTTACCTCGGCTTTGAAGCTTCAGCACCGTTTGGCTTTTAAAACGACGTCGTAAAATTGCTCTTATGAGCATCTTTGCAAGCGGAGATCATGTTGGCAACTTCGATTTCAGGCAGGGACAGCCCAGAGGGCAGCTGTGGCCAGCAGCCGCTCCCTCCGTGCGCTGGAGTCCGAGGACCTGCAGCAGAGGCTGGCCCAGCGCCTGGCCAAGCGCACGCATGGGGCAGTGCAGTGGGGAGACCTGCTTGTCTGGTGCTGGAGCCAGGGAGCCAGAGTCCAGAGTTTTAGGCCTGCTCCTCTCTCTCTCTCTCTCTCTCTCTCTCTGTCTGTCTGTCTGTCTAGTGTGTCTTCTTCAGCGAGGTTTGCAACCCCTGAAAGGCTTTGTTTTCTCAGCTAATCAATGGGGAGGCTATTACTCACCTTACAAAACTGTGGTAGTTTCAGGAAATAATTAACCTATACAAAGGGCAGACTCCCTCCACAGCAAACCTTCAAATCTTGGCTCCTCCCGTTTCTTAAGGGATTATCCACGATGAGCAGGGAAGTCTTTTTGAGGGGGGACAGGATTGAGAGTGCCCCGAGCAAGGGTGGGCTCTTGTCAGACGGTAAGGATGAGCTAGGGTGGGAGGCAGGGTGCACAAGGGTTGGGGCAGGTGACTGAATGAGGCAATGGAAACATGGCTGAAAGTTCCGAGAGAGGATTGATGCGGGGTCTCTGTTTCTGCCATCCCTCAGTGGTCTCTAGGGCATGGAAGTGGGGCAAGGCCGGCCATCAGAACACCCAGGGAGCCACTTGGAAATTATTATCCTGTCTCGGCTGCTGCGCCTTTTCCTCCTCCCTTCTAAACACCCATCTGTCTGATTGCTTAACAGTTGACCCCAAGGGTCCTTGGGAAGTGGGGAACTCATGCAAAATAAAACAAACAAAACAAGCTTATCTTCAGAAATAATGCTACTGACTTCTAGTTTTACTTACCATCACCTGGAGCCTACTAACTGAGCTATTGAGCACTGTGAAGTTCAGTATTGTCATCTAAAATCATCAGTCAACTGGTGCTACCTGAGCACTCAAATTCCCTATTATTCTAAAAGGTTGGACATCATACAGCCTTTGGCAATGCTGCACAACTCCTGGGTTCTCTACATGCAAGCTCTAGGAGTGATCAGTTTTCAGAAAAGATTTGCAGTTCCCAGCATGCCACCAGAAATATGCTGAGGTTGGTTTTTGTTGTTTTCTGTTTTTACAGTTCACTGTTTTAAGGCTATGGTTTTCATTCATTCTTTCTTTCTTTCTTTTTGAAACTGTGCTAAAAGACATTTAACACAGCATTAGCCATTTTGACTATTTTTGCATGTACAATTGAATGGCTTTAATTAGATTCACCAAGTTTTGTCACCACCACCACTATTTATTTCTAAATGTTTCCCCCTCCCGCAACAGAAACTCAGTGCCCCTGAAGCAACAACGTCCCCTTTTCCTCTCCCATTGGCCCCGAGTAAGCACTACTGAAGTTTGGTATAAGTGGAATCACACAATTTTTATCCTTGGGTGTCTGACTTACTTCACTCTGCGTGCTTCCAGGACTCATCCATGTCATAGCATGTATCAGAACTTTACATCTCCATGTCTGCATCTTCGTCCACTGTATGGCTACACCATATTTTAGACACTTGGGTTGTTCCTAGCCTTTGGCTATAGACATTATGCTAAAATATGCATTGGTGGACATGTATCTGTTTGAATCCATGCCGTCTTTTCTTTTCTTTCCCTAATTTTTATTGAAATATAGGTAGAGGCTTACACACTAAACAACCCCTCAAACTGATTTACCCTGCACCGGCCCCTTGATACGTCTTTTCTATCTTGTGGGTTATCACCATGCTTTAACCCAGATTAACACCTATCCGCGGTGTAGCCCGTGACTCTCTCTTCCTTCCCTTCCCTGCCCCCATCCCCTGCTCTTGGCAGTCTCCAAAGTCTGTTCTCTTGATTTTTTTCCCCTTTACAACAGTGGTCTCATGTAATATTTGTCCTTTTGTGCTTGACAAATTTCACTCAGCGTAATTTTCTCCAGGTCCACCCATATCATGAGGTATTTCATGGTTTTATCATTGTTTTTTCAATGATGCATAGTATTCCATTGGATGTGTGTACCAGGGTTTCTGTTTTATGGTGTCTTTTTAGTGTAATTATTTTTACTTAACTGTGGCAAAAATATACACAACAAAACATTCTCCAATTCCACAACATCTACTTGTATAAGTTGGTGCCAAATTATTCTACCACCGGTAACATAAACTCATGGCCCCTAAGCAAAAACTCTTCCTCATTCACCCATGGTCACCATTAGTCAACTTTGGCTTCATTTTTCAGTCATTTTCTTGATCTGAAATTCACATATCATATACTTCCACAATTAAGTCGCTTTCAAAAAGAGTTGTACAAAGTCCCCGCAGAATTCTGAAAAGAGACTTTGGACTGGGTGGGGGGGTGAAAGAGGGGCAGGGCTTGGCACTACATCAGACCTGATCAGAAAATATTCATAAGGGTCAGCAGACAGACCTGGAACTATTATTCATAGGCTGTTTTTCCCCATGTCTATCTATATAAAGATAAACAGTCCTGGGGAGAAAACAACAAAACTGATGGTTCTGGTGGGGACAGGGGAGAGGAGAAGGTACAGGGAAAGGAGCAAGAAACCAACAAACCCAGGGATGAGGGAGCAACAAGAGACCTAAAATCGATGGCAAGGAGGGCATAGAATTCCTGGTGGGGTTCGATCAAGTGCAATTTAGCCAAGAGGAAGTACAGAGAGCCCAATGAAGGTTGAACATGATAGTGGGACAGGAAGAAAGTAAAAGGAAATAGAGGAAAGAACTAGAAGGCAAAGAACATTCATAGAGGTATAAACATAGGCAAGTACATATGTAAATATATTAATATATAACGATGGGGATATAGGTCTATTGTACGTATATTTATAGGTTAAGTATTGTGATAGGTAGGTTTATTGTGCCACCCTGGCCAATGAACATGTGTGGGATTAATTGAAGGGCAGAGAGATAAATGGCTTGGCAAGTCTCACCTTTTTTGTCTCTTGCTCTTTGATGGTTGGATCAGTGTGCAGCTGCCTTAGCGGGTTCTCTGCCTCAACTTGTGAGCTACACTACCTGTGGGACACCTAACCCATGGACTATGTTGCTGTAGTTTGAGGTTCCCTCAAGACCTGCTTCGCCATGCTACTGGAGTATACATCGCTTGAGCTGGGGACTGTCAGACCCTGTCATCTGGCTAACTGTTGGTGACCTGCCTTGCTGTTTGCTGCCTGTGGCTGGACAGCCTGAATTGCTCTACAGAGGACTCAGCTGTTTGCTTCCTTGACTTGCACCTGGTGGCCCTCAAGACTTGAAGGATTGCCAATGTATTAGCTGTCTCACAGAAGTGAGTTGCACTGAGCCACTTGTACTGCTTTGTAGATTAATTAGCTGCTTATGTCTTATGTTATATATACATATATATAAATATATATATAAGCATAAGTGCCCTGGTTTTGTTTCTCTAGAGAACCCTGTCTAATATAAGTATTAAGGTAGCCGACAGACATTCGGCCTCTACTCAAGTCCTCCCTCAATGCAAGAACACTTTGTTCTAATAACTTGGTGCTCTGTGATGCTCACCTTCCCAACACAATGGCTGAAGACAAAATAGGTGCATAAGCAAATATGGTGAAGAAAGCTGATGGTGCCTAGCTATTAGAGACGATATAGCATCTGGGATCTTAAAGGCTTGAAGTTAAACAAGGGGACCTCTAGCAGGGAAGCAACAAAGCCCACATGAAAGAAGCACACTGTAGTAGTTGCATAATCTGTTGTCAATTTGAGAGGATTAAGAGGGAAGGGGTGGAGGTTAGCCTGTCAATCAGGTGGCATTGTATTGACCTCATTTGGAGGCACTAAGGAAATAAATAACTTGCTTGAGTTATGACACACACTCCCTCTCCATGAGACATTTCTGACGAGAAGCCACATGAAGCTTCCCTGATGCAGCCAGAGCCCTGGGAGCTGGGGGAGCCATGTGGAGACCCCTGCCAGTGCTGAGATGCTTACAATGCCACTGGATCCACAAGACTTCCCACCCACTGGCTTGTGATCTTCCTGCATTCATTATCATTGCATGTGTTTCATGAGTCTGAAGAGAACTTTATAGATTGGTATCAGACATATGGACTAATATCTGACTTATGGACTTGTTCTTGACTGGACTGGGATGCTTTCTTAATGTACAATTACTATTTATATAAAGCTCTTTCTTATAAACATATTGAGTGCCTCTGGATTTGTTTCTCTAGTCAACCCGGACTGACACACACATACACACCAACCCGTGTGATCACATGGTGTCGATAGATCAGGTAACAGGCATCAGAAGACCCAAAACAAACAACTATTTCTATGTGAATGAAGGGAGGGGGGTCGGAATGGAGACCCAAAGCCCGTCTGTAGACAATTAGACATCTCTTCACAGAAGGGTCACAAGGAAGGGACGAGCCAGCCAGGGTGCAGGATAGCACTGATGAAACACACAACATTCCTCTAGTCGTTTAATGCTCCCCCCTCACTATCATGACCCCAGTTCTATCTTACAAATCTGGCTCAATCAGAGCATGTAAACTGGTACAGATAAGAGCTCTTGACACGCAGAATCCAGGACAGATAAACCCATCAGGACCAGTAATGAGAGTAATGATACCATGAGGGTAGGAGGAAGGTGGGTGGAGAAGGGGGGAGAAAGTGAGAACTGATCTCAATGATCAATGTACAACACCGCCCTCCTCCAGGGGATGAACAACAGAAATGTGGGTGAAGGCAGACTGGATGGTGTAAAATATTGTGATAGTCTGGGTACTTTAGAGAAACAAATCCACAGAAACTCATGTATGAGAGAGAGTTTTATATAAAGGTTAAGTGCACATCAAGAAAACATCCCAACCCAGTGCTGCCCATGCCCACAAGTCTAACATTAACCCATTAACCCATATGTCTGACACCAGTCCACAAAGTCCTCCTCCATCTCACAAAACACACACTATGATGCTAACTGCAGGAGGAAAGCCAAATCAGTGAACGTGTAAGCAT